TCCAAAGAACATGTGTTAACATCTTCTTGCCCAGAGCTTTTAGCTCCAAAGGTATCTATGTTATTGTCATTGTCCAAAGAACATGTGTTAACATCTTCTTGCCCAGAGCTTTTAGCTCCAAAGGTATCTATGTTATTGTCCTTTGTCTAAAGAACACGTTAATATTCTTCTTGCCCACAGCTTTCAGCTCCAGAAGTATTTCTGTTATTGTCATTGTCCAAAGAACATGTGTTAATATCTTCTTGCCCAGAGCTTTTAGCTCCAAAGGTATCTATGTTATTGTCCTTTGTCCAAAGAACATGTGTCAACATTCTTCTTGCCCATAACAAGCCTTCAAACATCACCTACATATATATATTATTTCTTTTATTTTAGTGAATGAAAATCTCAAGTTTTTTACTTTTAATTTAACAACTTTTAAACCTAATACTGTTTCAACTCAATACCTGAACAATTTACTTTACGGTGAACAAAGGTGAAATGAAGAGCAACCAGTGAGTGAAATTGTCAGGCACATGTAATCTTGGGTCAGCAGGATAAAATTAATCTTATCTAGCATCTTAGAATTATCAGCACACACTGACAAAAAGTCAAAAGTAAGCTTGACTTTTAATCACTATGACTCTGAATACATTTCAAAAGTAGAATTTTAGAATGTATTCAGAGTCGTACTGATTAAAAGTTAAAAATGATAATTCCATCTTTATATGTCATTAGACAGGCCTCTCTGGCAATACTGTATACAGTTTTGGTCTCCTTATCTATCAAAGAATATTGACTCATTGAAAAGAGTTCAGAAGAGGGCTATGGGGGTGATTTCAGGAATGGAAGGGCTACCTTAGAGGGAAAGGTTAAGATCTTTCAATTTTATTTTTTGAGAAATGATGGTTTGGGGGTCATTTTATTGAATTTTTCAAGTTTATCCAAGGTATAGACAGGATAAACACACCTCTGATTTCTTTCTGCTATATTCTGAATACAAGTTTAAAATTGGGTTGGGCTGCAGTTAAAAGTTTTATTTTTTTAACAGGGTGACTACCTTAAGGAAGGAATTTCTGTTTACGGTAGTGGTCACCAGGATTTATTAAGATTTGCTGTTCACGGTAGTGGTCACCAGGTTTTATTAAGACTTTCTGTTCACGGTAGTGGTTACCAGGACTTATTAAGACTTTCTGTTCACAGTAGTGGTCACCAGGATTTATTAAGACTTTCTGTTCACGGTTGTGGTCACCAGGATTTTTAAGACGTTTTGTTCACAGTAGTGCTCACCAGATTTCATTAAGACTTTCTGTTCACAGTAGTGGTGACCTGGTTTTATTAAGACTTTTTGTTCATGGTTGTGGCCACCAGGATTTATCAAGACTTTAAAAGTGGAACTAATAATTGTGTCAAAAATAAAGGGTGGAGGTTTAAGAGTTTATTTTTTCTCAAACGTCAGTAGAAAGGGACAGCCTTAGTCTGTCATTGTCCAAATGTCACATTATATTAACCAGACTAAAGAGACTTAAAGTTTCAAATCAATACACCAGAAAACTGCCACCTATAATGATTAAACTGCATCCTTGCTGTAATTAAAGTTAACAATACACCCTATGTTCACTACAAAAAACTGCTATTCCATTTCCAAGAAACGTCTACTCTAGAAAGGCTGGTAAAGAACCTTGCAATTTCATCATGTGCTAAGCCTGAAAGTCATACACATAGTTAGATATTATCAGCCTAAAGTTATCAGTTTGGTTGAGATCAACAAACTGCGTCTTAAAACCACAACCAATGACAAGTTTTTAAGGTATCATCTTGAGTCAGTACAAAGCCCAATGAACAAACATACCAGCTGATCATAATAATAAATTAAGATAATCCAAAATTTATAAAAAATAGTAATGTTAGAAAATACTTTGCTCTGATATTGCTATGTTTAATTTTGAAATTGTAAGAAATTCGGCACAAATAAAAAGATGTTACATCTGCACCATTTTCTTCATAACAAGTCCTAAGATTACATTAAAAAATATATTATACATAACCCTAATTTTCAGTCAGTGATATTGTACGATTAACATTAAATATAAAAAAAACACCAGACATTATTCTTGCACTATATTATCTTATAATATCCATTAGCTTAAAACGAAAAAATAAATTGGATTTAATTGAAAAAAAATCATCATAATTATATTGTTTGCTGTTATTTAGTATTTCGATTTTTTAACTTTAAGAACTCTTTTGAACTATTTCAAACTTAAACTAATTTCTATTATTCTTCTTGACGGTTCAAACTTATACTAGACTAACCTTAGCATTATTTTCACCATCACTACGTGTACGAGTGAGACTAAAAGTTAATAAAAGAACATTTATTTGAAAAATTAAACTTTTAAATCTCCAACTAAGTTGTAATTACAAATTTGTTCACGTTTGATCATTTTACCTTCCAGCCGTTCCCTGCATCTCTGTAGTATGGAAAATTTACGCATATCCACGAATAAATCTCACTCAACGTCATCTTTTTCTTAGGGGAACTATTTATGGCAAATGATATCAAATTGGCATAACTGTAGGGTGGTTTTCCAATTTTCTGATTCGAATCTTTAGTTGTTGATGAAACCGAACAATTCTGGTTCCCACTACAACATAATGTTTCATTTTTATGCTCACAAGTTTGTTCCCCATCCATTGTTCCTTGCACATTTAACCTCGGTAACCAATCCATAGATGTAAGACTTTTGTTCAATTCCGACGTCATTTTACAAGTCACTTATTACGGCAAAATAAACTTAAAAGCAATGTTACTCGGTGCAATTAAAGGGTTAAGCACAACATTCTCGTGCCTGATGAAACTCATATTGAACCACATCTAAACTTATGAATACGTTTTAAATAAGTGAGAATATACTTCGTATGTCATTGAATAACTTTGCTAAAAATATGATAACGCTTGCCACCACTGTTTTAGTTGCTGCCACCTATCGGTAAAACTATCATTTCCTTTGTAGGTGGCGTCTCACATTAATGTCAACTTACTTAAGTGTATTTTTTGTTTTTATTATATATTTATTTATACAAAAACTGTCTTCATTTTCTATTAATCGTAAAATTATTCTGTTATTTGCATCACAAGATACAATTTCGTGTGTATATAACAAAGACGGTAAATGAAAGATTGTTGTTTATAAAAAAGCACTTTAAACAATGTAATATAAATAATATACGTTTTCAAAAAGCTTTATAATATTTTTCTACATATTATCATTTCGTAACGAATTTGTATTTCATACTTCAAGAATCTGTAACTAGTATAGTTCACGTTTGATGTACAGAAATTTTAAGTATTTCTTGAAGACAATCTTTACAAATAATGACCCTTTATCTTCACTTCCACTCTCATCCCTGTTTCACCTATGAATTATGTTGTCCACAACCTGTTTTATTTCGTAAGTAAATTTTCTACCTTCATAAACTCATAATATCTATAAAATCTTATTCTTGAAATTATTTTAATTAGCTATAGCCATTATCGATACCAGGTTGAATTTTAGTTTCGCTTTAAGCAAATGGCTTGCTCTGATCGGAAGTTAGGATTAATCAGTAAACTTCCAGAGGAAACACAAATTATATTATAGTTTAAACCATAACTTATAAAATATGCTACTGAGTATATAAGTAGCGTTTCGTAGAATATGTTCTCTCTCATCGTTCACCTCAAATGGTGAGTTATGGTATTAAACGAAAAGCTTAGTGGGCTTAGTGAATATGCAAGAAGAACGTCAGCAGTTAATCTTGTAGCATTTACTTATAACTGCATAAAGTTTCTTAAAACTGTAAGATATATATTTTGAATAACTTGTCAGTCACGTCTCTGTATATAAGGCTTAACGGCAAGCCTCGCGAATCTATCGTCAGCGATTGATGTATAATGTGAAGTGTCACGTGATGCGCAGGAATCTATTATGTAGTTACGCTAATTTTGCTCAAAGTATTGTTACGTCTCCTTCGTTAGTTAATTTTCCGTAAAAATTCTTTCCGAAG